TTCTGCCGAAGCCAGTTTGGCTCAGTGGATAGAACATCGGCCTGCAGACTGAAAGGTCCCGGGTTTGATTCCGGTCAGGGGCATGTATCTTGGTTGTGGGCATATGTAGGGGGTGTCCAGGAGGCAGCTGATTGATGTTTCTCTCTCATCGATGCTTCTCTCTTTTTTTTTTTTTTAATATATTTTATTGATCTTTTGCAGAGAGAAAGGGAGAGGGATAGAAAGTTAGAAACATCAATGAGAGAAAAACATCGACCAGCTGCCTCCTGCACATCCCCTACTGGGCATATGCCCACAACCAAGGTACATGCCTTTGACCGGAATCGAAACCGGGACCTTTCATTCTGCAGGCTGACGCTCTACCCACTGAGCCAAACCGGTTTCAGCCGATGTTTCTAACTCTCTATCCCTCTTTCCCTTTCTCTCTGTAGAAAATCAATAAAAATATTTTTTAAAAAAGAAAACACCTCCTTCCATCCTATAACCTATTAACTTGGTTTATGTGGTATCTTTCAGGGATAGAAATAACTTTCATGCAATCAAATCTTGTTTGTTCTCCCGTTTGGTTTGTGTTTTTGGAGTTGTAAGCTCTTCCCTACTCTAGGTCACAAAGTTCATCCTATGTTTTATTCAATCAGCTTTGTAGTCTCCCTTTCACATTAAGTTTCTTAACTCATCTGAAGTTCACTCTTATTGATAATGTTAGGTGTAGTGATCCAGTTTTCCTACTTCACTTATATAGAAAGTGCCTATGTATAAATGGGTCCTTTGAGTTCTCTATTTTTGTAAATTATGGCCTTGCAATATATCTCAATATCTAGTAGAATAAACATCCTTTCCCCAATTGTTGTTTTTTTTTTTTTTTTTTTTTGTTAATCCTCACCTGGCGATATTTTTTCCCCATTGATTTTTTAGAGACTAGAAGGGAGGGTGGGAGAAGAGAAAGAGAGAAAGAGAAACAATGTGAGAGAGATGCATTGATTGGTTGCCTCCTATAGGTTCCTCTACAGGGCCAACTTGTAACCCTGGGAGTGGGACATACGACCCTTTGGAGTTCGGCCAATGCTCTAATCACTGACCCACACCGGCCAGGGCCAACTACTCTTTTTTTAAGGTTATGTAAGTCGTTCATTTTCTTTATTATACATTTTAGAGTATTTTTACTCTTTTTCTTAAACTTGAATTTTGTTTGCACTTATAGATTTGGAGACAAGTGCTGAACAGAATAAAGAAGAAAGAAAGAAAAACAAGCAAACAAACAAACCAACACCAGCCCTGGCTGGTGTGGCTCAACTGGTAGAGCATCATCCTGTGTACCTAGGGGTCACCAGTTTGATTCCTGGTCAGGGCATATAGCCAGATTGTGGGTGCAATCCCTGGTAGGGAAGTGTATGGGAGGCAACTGATGGATATGTCTCTCCCTCTCAAATCAATAAAAACATATGTGAAAAAAGAAAAAACAAACAAACAAAATAATGTAATAATGACATTTCAGAGCATCAAAGAGAAAAACATTCTTAAAGTTATCAGAGAAAAAAGCAGATTACTGAGAAAAGGGTAAGAATCAGATTGCCATCTGACTTTCACTAGCAACATCAAACTCGAGAAACAGTAGAACATACAGAAAAAAAACAGAGCATCAGTGTGTGTTCTGGTTTCAGAAAACTTCAGGATGTATCTTTAAACTCAAGCTTGATACCTCAGGGAGACCAGAAAACTGAACTGTTCTCCTTACCTCGTTTTACAAGTTATCCATACAGTTGTCCCTCTGCTAAGTGTCCACATGTGTCACATTTGGGATCCAACCAACCCAACCAATCACAGATTGAAAATATTTGGGGGGGAGGGAATTTATATTGTTGCTCACATGTACTATGTAGTTAGGCCTGGTTACATCTAACTACATAGTACATGTCAGCAACAATGGTTACATCTGAACTGAACATGTACAGACTATTTTTCTTGTCGTTAGTCCCTAAACAATACCAAAGGATGGCGCTACATTGGAGGGAAAATCAGAGGAAATGCATAAATAAGTGAGACCATTTTTAATTTAAGTGAGTAGTAATAAGCATCTGTTATAAACTAATATTTCTTTTTAAAAATATATATTTTGCCGGGACTGGTTTGACTCAGTGGATAGAGCGTCGGCTTGGGGACTGAAAGGGCCCGGGTTCGATTCCGGTCGGGGGCATATACCTTGGTTGCGGGCATATCCCCAGTGGGGGGTGTGCAGGAGGCAGCTGATCGATGACTCTCTCTCATCGATGTTTCTGGCTCTCTATCTCTCTCTCTCCCTCTCTGTATAAAATCAATAAAATATAAAAATAAAAAAATAAAAATAAAAAATACATTTTATTGAATTTTTTTTTACAGAGAGGAAGGGAGAGGGATAGAGAATTAAAGACATCAATGAGAGAGAAACATCAATCAGCTGCTTCCTGCACACCCCCTACTGGGGATGTGCTGGCAATCAAGATACATGCCCTTGATTGGAATTGAACCTGGGACCCTTCAGTCTACAGGCTGATGCTCTATCCACTGAGCCAAACCAGTTAGGGTCTAATATTTCTTTTTAAAATTTAAATTAAATTAAAATTTTCCTCATTACCATTTATCTCCTCTATGCTCTCTTGGACCAATATTTCTTACTTTCTTATTTTATTTTTTAATTTTTTAAATGTTCCATTTCTTTCTTTTTAAAAAAATATATTTTATTGATATTTTACAGAGAAGAAGAGAGGGATAGAGAGTTAGAAACATCAATGAGAGAGAATCATTAATCAGCTGCCTCTTGCACACCCTCTTCTGGGGATGGGCTTGCAACCAAAGTACATGCCCTTGACCAGAATCGAACCTGGGACCCTTCAGTTCGCAGGCTGACGCTCTATCCACTGAGCCAAACTGGTTTCGGCTCTTACTTTAAAAAAAAAAAAATATATATATATATATATATATATATATATTTTTTTTTTATTGATTTTTTACAGAGAGGAAGAGAGAGGGATAGAGAGAAACATTGATGAGAGAGAAACATCGATCAGCCGCCTCCTGCACACCCCCTCACTGGGGATGTGCCCGCAACCAAGGTACATGCCCTTCACCGGAATTGAACCTGGAACCACACAGTCCGCAGGCTGAAGTTCTATCCACTGAGCCAAACTGGCTTTAGCAATATTTCTTACTTTTGATGTTTTGATTTTATTCAATTCTTTAAAACATGGTTTATAAGCTACGGAGTTAACACAGAGATAAGGGCATTTTATTTCACATGTTGAGAAAAAAAGATTATTACATAAAATATTTTGATATCTCAAGGATATACTATTTCTGCCAAGAAGCAGAGCAAGGAGGGCTATAACTTATGGTATCAAAAGAACATGTCAAATTTAACTTGAGACTTTTTACTCTATTGATCAAAGCTCTTTCTTTGGCTGGCTGAGTTGTAAATATGTGTTCTATATCTTTGCATTTCTTATCGCTACAGAGGATGGCAAATCATGCTATAAATCCTGTATAATCAAAGTATTTTTAGGTGCACAGATTGCTTCCTTCAACAAGAGACTTATATTTTTTTGTGTCACATCTCTCTTATTTAAGACAGAATTATGCTTTCCAGTTTTACAAACACTTTCTTCAAAGTGCTGAAAGAAAACTAAATGTGACAACTAGCAATTCTATTCCAGCTAAACTACTACTCAAATTTGGGGAGTAAACATAAATAATTAGAGGCACACAGAAGCCTAGAAAATTTGCCACCCATAGATTCACTCTGAAATAACTGCTTTTTAGCTATTTTAGTTATATTTTTCTGGGGACAGGAGTCCAGGGTCTGTTTTATCCAGAAGTGAAACAACTGCCCGGCCCTAGGAAAGCCCCCAACAACCTAGGTGCATGCGAAGGATGCACTGATGGAGTAGGTCAGTCTTCAGTGAGTTTCTTTGGTAGAACAAGAAGAGTAATGAAAGAAAATGAGGTACAAGAAGAAATAGTGAGTAAATAGATTAGTGAAAATTAATGTCTATTAATTGGATTAAAATTTAGAGAGAGTGGATGAGAGGGAAGGGGAGAGAGAGAAGAGAGAGAATGTAGAGAATGCATTGATGTGAAACATCCTTTGGGGCCCGGACAGGGGCTGATCTCTAACCTACAACTCGGGTAGCTGCCCTTCACCCGGGAATCTCACGCTCACCCTTCAGAGCGCTGGGGGATGTGCGGGAGGGCGGCGCTCTACCCATCGAGCCACACCAGCCAGGGCCGTTTTCTTTTCTTTTCTTTCTTTCTTTCTTTTTTTTTTTTTTTTTGAGCTGGGGAATTTGGGTAGCTGTTAGGCTTCGGCGTGACACCCGCGAGGAATTTATTTGGTGCATGGGGACAAACATGATAATTTCACTTTTCTCCCACACGGGTGGATTTAACTACAGGCTGGCTAGCATTCTGTAGGATTCTAGCCCGCAAAGTGTGTGTGTGTGCGCGCGCGCGCTCGCGTGTCTCTCCCCCAAGTGTCGTTATACCCTTGAACGAATTTGAATGGTGCTGTTCTTTGTGAGCCACATGTGAGCACTTTGTAAGATTTTTTATGGCCCTGAGCGAACGATTAAACCTAGAAGCTGCAAAGAGAGCTGGAAAGAGCTTTCAATGAATATCAAGCCCAGTGCTCAAATACCCCTCTCTCTCAAGGGCGATGGAGGGGAATCCGGGCCGAGACCATTTTTGGGGTGGATGGGGATTAACTGGCCTTGAGTTCCTATTCACAAGGCGCGTCCTTTCCTCTATTTGTTCGCGGGCAGGCCGCTAGGCGGTGTCGGGGAGCTATCCGCCCACCGGCGAGCAGCCCCGCTCTCACCCTCGCCCTTCACCCCTCTGGCCCGGCGTAGAGACTACAACTCCCGTGGTGCTCTGGGAGGGGGTGTTGGACGGGAGGGAGGGGCGCGGGGGCGGGCCTTCCGGGCGTGTGTTTCCGGCGTCGGCCGCGGCCCGGACGGTGTGAGAGCTGTAAGATGGCGGCGGCGGCGGTAGAGTTCCAGAGAGCCCAGTCTCTACTCAGCACCGACCGGGAGGCCTCCATCGACATCCTCCACTCCATAGGTAAAGGCAGCCGCGCCCCCTCCCCGGCCCTCCCGTCCCGGCGCGGCCTGTGCGGGTCGGCGGCGGCGGCGCGGGGCCGGGCTAGCCGGTCCTGGCGCTGCTGACTCACTGTGTGTGTGTGTGTGTGAGTGAGTGAGGGGGGCCGGGCCGGGGGCACAGGCCGCTCGGGGCTCCCTGGAGCCCCGGGGTCCCACCTCGGCGGGGAGCCCCGAGGCAGCCCCGGCGTCCGCTGGCGGGCTGCTGACTCACGGCGGGCTCCGCGTGGGGTGCGAGAGCGGGCCGAGCCGGGGCCGCACCACTCCCTGGACTTGTCTCCCGCTCCGGCCCGGGAGCGAGCGAGCGAGCGAGCGAGCCGCCGGGACCCGCAGCCGTGCGGGCGGCGTGCCGGCTGCCACCCGGGCGGAGAGCCTCCGGGGGAAGGAAGGGCCCGGGCGAGACCCGCTGCGGACAGGCATTTCCCGCCGTCGTTATCAGCGCCGCCCGGTCCGGGCGGGAGCCGGAGCGCTCGGGCTCGCTCCGCTCTCGGAGTTTCCTTCCTGGGGACCGGGAGCTGCGGCTGCTCCCCGGACCCACGGCAGACGGCTCCGCGGGACGGGGGCCTGTCCCTGAGCTGGGAAGTGCCGAAGGGGCGCACCCCGCGGGCTGGCCTTTGGCTGGAGGAGGTGGCCCCCGCGTTCCTTTGCCCCCCGTGCAGGGTGTAAAGAGCGCGATGATGTCGGAGTGGGACCGTCGGGCCAGAGGAGGTGACTCATCGGCCTCCTCTTCCCCCGGAGAGGTTGGAAGTGAGTTCGGGAGTTAGTTGTGAGCGAGCCGCGGAGTTCAGGGAAACTCTGCGAGCGGCCGGCTGCCGGAGCTGGTGGGAGGATCGGAGAGAAATTCCGTAACTCTGGTAGAGTTGTCTCATACTTCGCCCCCAACAGGAAACCATCAGTGGGAGCCCCCGCCAGTCCCGTCCGACAGATTCCTGCTAGGATTCAGGTGTGAACAGAAATAAACTTGTGATGACAGAGAATGCTTTTCATGTTCAGTCCGAAAGGGTTCAAGCGGGGCATGAGCTAGCTCTTCTGCACATGCAGTAATGCGATCTTTTTAGCGTAGCCAGGGCGGGTTTGATTTGGATCAACAAGTAGTATGAGAATGCACGTGGATGGGGGACCTCCAGGATGTTGGCTTTTATGGTGGCTGGTCCGAAACTTGGTATTCCTAGCGTGCATGGAGGAAGGACGGTGACAAGATCTTGATGTCTTTATCTTTGGGGGTCCTGGAGAAAGGGGTGGGGGGCTCCTTCTGGGAGCTCAGGTGCATTTGTGAATGGATGAGATTGGTAAATGAAGGGTGTTTCATTTTGATGAAACTGATAAGTCAAGTTTGATAAATTTGTTAAGTCTTGACTTATTAGTTACAATGGCACAACCAGAGAGAGTCCTTGCAATCCCTGTGGCATGTGTATTTCTATTCTGTGAATACGCACTAACATTTAGAACTACTATGAGAAGCATAGGCTTTATTTATTTATTTATTTTTTTTGTGCCTAGCATTTTGTCTTTTATAAAGTGGGGGTTACGGTAAACTTTATAAGAAGAGTATCTCTTGCTTGCCCACTACCCTGGGAGAGAGTTTCCTGAAAGTGTTCCTGTTAGAGCTTGAGTCACGATGGTTGACAGCCTTACTTTTTCTGGACTCCATTAGGGAGTGTCAAAGTCTTGGTTTTTGTCAAGTCATGATGCTTCGTAAAGAGAAGTGAAAACTAGTGATGATCACAAATTACCTCTACACATTTGGAGAGGCTATTCAGTGATCCAGATGTAGAATAGTTATTAACAGTCGAACGTGGAACAGATAGCACAAAGTTATTTTAACAGGTCCCAAGCCCATTGGGAAGCAGCAGTCCCTCCTAAGGATCTTGTTTTTCCTGAATGGCTTTGTAGAGCTGCATACCCCTAGCACCCGTCAGTGGAGGCTTTCCACGGGCCTAACATTTACTGGGAGACTATTATTTACCCTCACCTGAGGATATTGTTTCCATTGAATTTATTTATTTATTTTTTTTGAAAGTGGAAGGAAGGGAGGGAGAGAGGAGACAGACAGACAGAGACAGACAGAAAAATCGATTGGTTGCTTCCTGCACATGTCCCAACCTGGGTTAGGGATCGAACGTGCAATCCAGGTAAATTCCCTTGACCAGGAATGAAACCAAAGCCTCTTTGATGTGCCTGCTGATGCTCTAACCACTGAGCCACCAGTCAGGGTGGTTTCTTAACTTTTGATTTTATAGTCATTAGTAACATGGTCATTTGATTTTAGTTTGTGGCAGGTAAATGCACAGATATGTTGAATATTTTCATGTAGTAGTCCCTAGCCTGGGGCTTACCACCACTTGTTTTGTTTGAATTTTGTCTTAACCAAATGACTGCAACAGAAATCTCAGTGTATGTGGGCAAGGGAAATTCTGATAGAATGAAAGACACATTTAAATAAAGGAGAAGAGTCTATTATGATGTACATGATTTTTCTACCTTTTTAAGCTTTCGAATTTGTCTTTTGTTAACTGAGTTTGTAATTGGTCTTGTGAGGGTGAAATTTCCTTTAGTCTTCATTTTTTGTCAGAATTTTAAGAGGTTTTGAATTTCTTCTCCCAGTGAAGCGTGACATTCAGGAGAACGATGAGGAGGCAGTGCAGGTCAAAGAGCAGAGCATCCTGGAACTGGGGTCTCTCCTGGCGAAGACTGGACAAGCTGCAGGTGAGTGCTACACATGGATTGCTTTCTCTTTTTACTTGTGATGCTGGGTGCAGTTGCAACTTTTTGTTGGAGTGAAGGAACAGAGGAACTTCACTTTTTCAGCAAGAGGTTAAGTGGCCTTCTGTAATGTTTCACAGTTCTTTCATGGGAGAGTTTTGTTCTGCAACTGCAGGAAAAGCTGTTCCTCTTAGATTTAATGACCTGGGATTTGCTTGTGGTTTGATTTTTTTTTTTTTTTTTTTTTTAGCCGTATTTCCATTCATACACACAGCAGCAACAGCAGCAGTCTTCAGTGATTCCACTGAGCTGCTCTGATGTGTTTATTTAAGGTGGGGAGTGACTTTAGGCTCCCAGTGTGGAAATGACTAGGGGTTTTGCATATAAGTAAGTAACTTAATGTCCTTTTTTTCCTACTACAGGATGAGTCAGACATTAAATGGGAAGAGCCTTCCTAAGATTTCTTCATTGATACCTAGGTCTTTGTGCATGTCATTGCCCAAACATTCTAGTTGTGATTGAACATTGACTTTCCAGGCTTCAGATGGTGATGGTTATGTCTTTAGAATAAGATTCTTGTTGACCATGAGTGGCCTTTGACTAGTAAATTGGTAACAGTATTTAAAGAAGCCTGCTTAAACTTAAAATGGATGATTTTTGGTGACCTGACAGTGAATTTAGAGTTTATCTGATTAGAATGGATTAAGCTCTGGTAGGTGACCTCATGAATTACTTTCCCCCAAATTACGTTATCCAAGAGAATGTTAGGTATAAGATAGCAAAACTTGCCGAAACTGGGTTGGCTCAGTGGATAGAGCGTCGATCTGCGGACTGAAAGGTCCCAGGTTCGATTCCAGTCAAGGACATGTACCTTGGTTGCGGGCACATCCCCAGTAGGGGTGTGCAAGAGGCAGCTGATGGATGATTCTCTCTCATCAATGTTTTCAACTCTCTATCCCTCTCTCCTTCTCTCTGTAAAAAATAAATAAAATATATTAAAAAAAAAAAAAAAAAAAAAAAAAAAGCAAAACTTCTTGAACTTGAAAACTAAGATCTTTCCCAGTTAAGGATGACAAATTATTAGGCTAAATTAATGGAAAGTTGTGTGAAATTGGGGGAATATATTTCTGTGGGTCTTTATCTTATTTAAAATATCTATAAAAAGAAAACAGCCTTAGCCAGTTTTGCTCAGTGGATAGAGCATCGGCCTGCAGACTGAAGGGTCTCAGGTTCGATTCTGGTCACGGGCACATCCCCAGGTTGTGGGCTTGATCCCCAGTAGGGGGTGTGCAAGGGTCTGCTGATCAGTGATTCTCTCTAATCATTGATGTTTCAATCTCTCTCTCCCTTTCCGTTTCTCTCTAAAATCAATAAAAATATATTGAAAAAAGGAAAAAAACAGTGAAAATAACAAAAAGTCTTTAAAAAAAACATACACAAAACAGTTTTAGTACTTACTATGACCTAATTACTGGTTAATTAATTAATTAGTTTGTTTTTAATCCTCACCTGAGGATATTTTTCCATTGATTTTAGAGAGAGTGAAAGAGAGAGGAAAAGAGAAATATTGATGTGAGAGAAACACATAGATTGCTTGCCACCTGCATACTCCCTGACCAGGGCTGGGCCGGGGAGGAGCTTGCAACTGAGGTACATGCCCTTGACTGGAATTGAACCTGGGATCCTTTGGTCTGCAGGCCAGCCCTCTGTTCACTGAGCCAAACCAGCGAGGGCCAGTTGCTGTTTTAAGCACAAACATGGTTTAGCTTATTGAATCCTTGACATGACTCCATAAGGTAGATTCTATTATCTATTTACACCTGAGGAAATGGAGCACAGGAAAGTTACTGTCTTACTTAAGGTCTGTCAGCTAGTGTGTGGGAGAGCCAGGATGTGAGCCCATGGAGTCCTACTACAGAGTTCATGGCCTCATGGTATAATCAATTTTACTTCCCATAGTTATCCCCTTGTGGATTATCAGTGGTGGGTGGTGTGTTTTTTTAATTTATGTTACTTTCCTCCTATTTAACACAGGTATGGATTCTTTTTGTGCATCAGTTAGAGAACAGTTTTGTTAATTAGTCTATACAAAATATAATTAATAAGATCATTTTCTTGAAAGAATTATAGAACCAAGTGAAATGATTTAAGATTTTTTTGTTTCTGAAACATCCAGATGTCTTTCCCTGCAGTAAATGTCGTGTAGTATATAGTCAGTGCTTCAGAAAATTTATCCCAAAATGTTAATTGTTTTACTTGAAATTTCCTTTTTTATGCTTTACTTTCTTCTTATTCCCTGCCCTCCCTGGTGATCCATACCTGAGAAGTTTAGAAGTGTACTGTTAATCCTATTGGAATTTAACAGGTGAATCATAAGAACTTTTAGTATATGTGCTGCCGAAGCGAGCACTCATAAGAACTTTTAAAAACTTGTTTTCTAAGGAAGGGTGATGAATATGGTTATATACAATAGAAACGCTAAGGAAGTCTTGGGACCTGCATTCATTTACTTTATTTAGCTATGAATAATTGATAGGTTTGTGTTGTTTTCTTTGATTTGGAGTTTTCTGAGAATAGGAAATATGTCTGTTTCATGAATCTTCAATTTTTATGCATATAATACATGTCTAACACTGTGCTAAGTACTCTATTCATAAAGTTTAAGATCGTGTCCCTGACTGACAGCACTCATTTTGTGACTTAGTGAATCAGACGGTGTCCTATGCAAAGTCATAATGGAAAGTATTGCTGAATATTATCAGACATGATGCCTAGGTGCAGGGTCTGCAGATTTCATAGCCTGAGATTATGAAATTATGTTGAGTTCTGTGAGGTTTTAAAAGGGAAGTTCTGATCATATAATTGCAAATAATCTTAGAATAGGAGGAAGGAATTATGTGATTCTGTGCAAATTAAAAAATTTAATTTTGTATATGTGAAAATGGAAAGAAACAGGGAATTTAACCAAGAATGAATAAGAAATAATAGTAGGCTAAAATAAAAAATGAACTGAGTCTTTTGGCAACTAAGAGGTCATTTGTTTCTCTGTCAGTGTGAAGAGAATAACACACTCAGTGCTTGGAGAAAATGCTGTCATGCTAGCAGGTGTTAGAGAGAAGGCACACTGCTTAGCACATGTTTTCTGCCTTTTCCAGGAAGGAAAATGATTTTCAAAAAATAAAAAGATAGAAATAATATCAGAAAGAATTAAAACCAAAGTGAGAGGAGAGAGCAGCAGCAGATAGTCTCTTTAAATAAGTTCTAGGCTCTGACATTTTCTGTCTTTTAGTATCAAAAGAATAGTTCTAGCAGATATATTTATAGAACCACTGTTAATATTTTGAGAAAAATTATGGAGGATGGAGAGATATAAGAAAATAGTATGGATGAACATTATTCCACTTTTCAAACAGGTAATAAAAAATACTAGACGTGATAAACTGGTAATCATCAGTAAAGTTCTGGGATTATTTGATAAATATGTTTTAATCACTTAGAACTGTGTGTTTATTAAGAAAAGATTGTTCCAAATTCATCCTTGGTTTTCTCCGTTAGTCTTATTAGACTATGGATATGCAGGGCTTCTCCACAGACTGGCTGGACAGCTGCTTTTGTAAATAAGGTTTTGTTGAACATAGCCATACCTACTTATTTATATACCAGAGGCCTGGTGCATGAATTCTTGCACAGTTGGGGTCCAGCCTGCCCGCCCGATTGTGGATTGTGGCTGATAGAGCCCGATCAAGCTGGGCTGGCCAGGGAGCGTCAGGGAGAATGCAGGAGGTTGGACAGCCGGCCTGGCCCAGCGGGCGATTGGGGGGCTGGCCCTGCCCCCTAGTCCAACTCTGGTCAGTCACACTCCCGCCCAAGGGGATAATTTGCATATTAGCCTTTTATTATATAGGATTATCTATGAATGCTTTGCACTACAGTTAGGCTGAGTTGAGTACCTCCCCCTAAGACCTTATAGCCAAAGCTGAAAATATTTACTATCTGACCCTTCACAGAAAAAGTTGGCCAACCCCTGGGTTAGGGGAATGATAAAGACTGCATATTTGATATATCAGAGGTTTTAAAGATTTGCCATAATAACAGGTACAGGTTATGAATTTATGATGACAAATGGATCATTTGTCAACCTGAAAGAAAGTCTCTAGCATTTGTCATAGGAATCTGTCCTTGTTCTTCTGGTCAGCATCTGAAGGTGTGCTTATTTTTGTAGATGACTCAGTACAAGACAGAATTAAGATTTAGAGTTATTGCTAGAGCCAGCAAGATTAAATTCAGTGTGCTAAGAATCAAGTTATATACTTAAAATATTTATCAAAACAGAGGAAGGTGGGGAATTACCTGTCTCTGCAAAAAGACAGTCATGGTTTCACTGAACCAAGAGAGTGCTGTTAGAAAAAGCAAAACACGCTCTTTGTGTTACATGTGATGGCTACCCTGTTTCCCCGAAAATAAGACTGTCTTATATTAATTTTTGCTCCCAAAGATGTGCTAGGTCTTATTTTCAGGGGATGTCTTATTTTTCCATGAAGAATACAGTACACATTTATTGTTAAATGAAAATAAAGGAAATTTATTACCTGTATACGATACGGTAGTACGGTAGTTGTCAACACAAACTAGACAAACTGTGAATCCTACAGTATCAAGAATTGACTCATTTATTCAATGACAATCATGTCATCATCTGGAACATCATCATAACAATCCAATTCCTGAATTTCCTGGTAAATTTCTTGTGACTCCATTTCTTTCAGAATCAGTGGACCAAATTTCTCATGTTTAGCCTAGGGGGGGCCTTATATTTCACTCAGAAAGAAACCTGTAAGTAGATCTTATTTTCGGAGGATGTCTTATTTTCGGGGAAACACGGTAGGTGAAAAGAATTAAGACACGATTCTACTGGTCATACCCTACCTGGAGCTCTGTTTTCAGTTCTGGGAATTACAAGTGGTATATCTACAAACGAGTTTATTCAGAAGAGAGCAACTAAGGTGATAAGGAATCTGGGAACCAGGACATTGGAGGAACAGTTGAAATAGGTAAAGATGTTTAGCTTGGAGAAAGGGGAAGTTAGGGAGATATAAATGTAGTTGTCTTCAAATCTTTGAAGCCACTTGGAAGGAGGGTATAGACTCATGTTTCAAAAGAGAAGTTAGTTTGACCAACATTGAAGTAGACTGCTTTCTGAACATTTCTAGTCACCCAACATTTTTCAGAATTGTTCAAGCATAGTAGGTAATGCTGTGGGAGAAGAGACATTGCACTAGACTAAAAACTATGATTATATAATTGGAATTTGCATAAATGCAAAGTGATTTTGAGGGGGAGAAATCAGTGTAGTCTGGAGTTGGCTTGGAAGACTTACCAGGACTTCAGTTGGACCTAAAAAGGTATCTAATTCACATAGTAGGAGGTTAAGAGGATGGGGAGAAATTCCAGATGGGAACACAGCATGAGTGAGGCATGAGAGCAGGAGTGTGAATGGGGAAAAAAATCTTAGTGGAAATCAAAGGTCAGTATTGGCAAGAGAAAGATGAACCTTTCCACTCTGTGTACAGAAGGAACCTGACACAGTCCCATGCATCCTATGACTTTTAGGGCAGATGAAGATTTCAGGACCCTGAGTTAGCATTCTCAGGAGGGTGAAGTTTGCTTGCCCTGATTTAGAGTTCTCAGGAGGGTGAGTCTACAATTGGAGAGTAATAAAGAGGCAGTGGCACTAAAGTAATTTTAACCTATATTCCAGAAGTACTTCCTTATTTGTCAATTGAAATATTCTCTGATTTTTAGAATTACTGTATTACTTTTTTTTTTCCTATACAAGAGGGAGAAAACCTTTATGGTGGGCGGGCACCTTTTTTGATCAGAGGTTAAGACCTAATGTTTTGAAGATTAGTGAGGAATATTAAAAGGGAAAAACACCCTAACTTTTATGTAAAAAGTTTATTCAAATGAGTGCCTGGGAACTGATGTTGCTAAAAGGCTAAACTGGGCAGTACTTTGGGAAGAGAGGAAAAAGGGAACCTGGAGTTGGAAATTTCTGTTCAGGGAGAACTATAAGGCAGATTTGAAAATAAAAAACAAACAACTATAACTTGTCCAAGGTGGCAGAGGCACAGCGTATTCTATGTTCTAGTTCTAGCAAACTTGTCTCTGAGAGTATGAGTACTTTGCTGTTTATCTTTCATTAAAATGGATGAGACAGAGAGATGAGTGTTTCCCAAGGCCCTTAGAGCAATCTAGTAGTTGAGTGGGTAATAGAACAGTACAAATTTGGTATATGTTGTTAGCTTATTTTTGCTACTTGAAATTCCTACTAAGTTTCATTTAGACTGATTCCAGTGACATAAGTACCCATTTTATAATCTTGGGTTATTTTTAAAATGGGTATTTTGTTCCTAATATTAATGTTTACTTTTTTCCTTTCTGAATTGCCTTCATTCAGAGCTTGGAGGACTCCTGAAGTATGTGCGACCCTTCTTGAATTCCATAAGCAAGGCTAAAGCAGCTCGTCTTGTCAGATCTCTTCTGGATCTGTTTCTTGATATGGAAGCAGCTACAGGGCAGGAGGTAAGCTGTTTTAATGACAGAAGGTAAATATTATGGGGAAAAGTCTGTTTCAGTGAAAGCAGTGCCTGACTGCAGTAATGCTCATGTAGAAGGAACAGCTGGGAGAACAGCTCAGGACTTACCATGTCAGTTTCTCTTTGTTCCAGGCATTTGATACTTTGGGTCTGTTCCATGCTTTGCTTTGTAAGTGGAGATTGTTAGTGGTCCCTGGAATCCTCATTACATCAGGGTTACAAACTGATTCTTGCTTTTGAGGTATTGTATTGCCTCATTGTTGTAATGTTTTCTGTGTCTATGGTACCTTTCATCCTGTGTCACAAAGCTCCTTGTGAGCACTAATTAAGTCTTGAGGCATCCCTTCTTGGCATGTTTTGTACCGAGTATATGCCTTTCTTGAGGGGTGAGCATCCATCTGTTTGGGTCTTGTGTGCGGAAGCCACTGGTGTATCTGTACATGTCCTCTACAAGTTCAGACTTAGACCCTGAGCTGTGTTTGAAGAGTGCCTCTTTGGATTCACTGAGCCTCTTCCAACCCTTTCAAAGACAGCTGCATATACTGTAATTCAGGGGAAGGAGACGCTACCAAAGTTAAAACTTACTCTGTAAAAAGTGGCAGATTCAAGCAGAGTATATTGTGGTTACTTGAATCTGCAGGAATAATTGTTAGCTGTGGCCTCTGGGTGTACAACTAAAAGGTGTGAAAGGGCATAGTAGCATATTGTGTAAATAATGAGGCAATTCAGAAACCTAGGACATTAAGATTCTACTTTGAAATCATGTCTTTTAAAAAACATAAACTAACTTTATTTGTAGAGAAGTCTTCAAATTGATTTGTTTCTGGCAGAACTATGTTCTTTTTATGTACTTTGTACCTGGCTGGAGTAGCTCAGAGGTTGAGCATTGACCCATGAACTAAAAGGTCACTGGATCAATTCCTAATCAGGGCATATACCCGGGTTTTGGCCTTGATCCCCAGGAGGAAATGTGCAGGAGGCAGCCCATTGATGTTTCTATTTCTACCCTTCCCCTCTCTCTCTCAAATCAATAATAAATAAATAAATTATACTTTGTTCTCATGAAAAAGTGGTACCATCTTTTGTTTGAAATAGGGTGCCTTTAGAATGGGCTGACTAAATGATAGCTTGAAACAAACCAATAAATGTTAGTTGGAATTTTTAGGCAGAAAAAGTTAATTATCCAAGCTGCTTCTTTCTACACCCCCACTGAAGATTGAGCCTGCAACCAAGGTACATGCCTTTGACCAGAATCGAACCCGGGACCTTTCAGTCCTCAGGCTGACGCTCTATCCACTGAGCCAAACCGGTTTCAGCCCATAGTAATACTGAGATCTGAGATAAAATAGGAAGTTTTTAGAACACTTTTATGAAAGCTCAGGCTTTTATGTTTGGGAGTTTGGTACCAAGAGTATGGGAAAGGGTCTTTTCCTTGTTTTTTCTTCTATTTGGGGACTAACCATAAGTTAGATCTGCAGAACAGTCTGCAGCTTGCTATATGCTGAAAGCTGCTAGGATTCAGATTAGGTTTGGGTTAATTTCCGTACTAAGGTTTAGAGCTTAGAAAAGAAGGATATATGTATTGGGTTTGGGAGTTGTGCAGTGGGTAGGAATGAGGTGGTTGGTAAGGGGAGGGGAGTAGGAAGTTGGGGTGAGGAAGAGAGAAAGAAGACCGAATCAAATCCTTGCCAAATAGTAAACTTCCAGGGCTTTCTAGGAAATTACCTATGGGAAGCCTTTTTTTTTTTTTTTTTTTTTTTTTTTTTTTTTTTTTTGCTATAGTCTAACTGAAATTTTAAGAAACCTTACAGCAAAAATCCTGTTATTGAAACTGTTATTTCAATGGACAAAAGGAGGGTGTGCTAGAGAGTTTTAGACTTAGAACAGTAATTTTCCCCCATAGGAATTTAGTTAACCGAACTTAAAAAAATAGTTAAGTATATTGATTTAAAACTTAAATATGTAATTTTGACCACATCAAGCTTTTGTATTCAAGTAAGAGTTGGCTTCCTCCAGAAGCATGGGTGTGCATTCTTAGCCCCTTTATCAGTCATGTTTAGCATGAACAAAGCACAAAGCATTGACAAAATAGCTGTGGCATAAGGGTCTTTATTTTTCCCCTTAGAACTGAAGCACCAATTATAGTGTTAAACAATGCAAATCATGTACCTTTAATTGATAACAGACATGCAGTTCATGTTCATTTGTACAAAAATCTGTGCTCCAGAAGAAATGTTTGTACTGACCTGAATTTTTTAAGGCTAGTTTTACATAGAAAGAACACTAGAGATAGCGTCCAGTTCTGATCCCATTGCTGATACGTAATCCTGGGTGAGTCACTTAACATCTGGACTGTCAAGGAAATGGGGGCAGGTGAGATTTTGTAGTAGAATTCAGTGTTTGCTTTTAGCTTGGAATATACATCAGTGGCCAATCTCTAGACTACTGAATCAGAAGCCAAGGTATTATTCATTTTTTGTGTTGTTTGAAACAGTTCTTCGGGTAAAATTGATAGTAAACTTTTTGTAGCCCCTTCAAGATGTATAGTACAAAAGACTACTGTGTTTTTGTTGCTCAATTATACAGTAAAATATTTTTATTAAAAAAGGTGTTTTTATTGATTTCAGAAAGAGGGAGGAGAGAGAGAGAGAGAGAGAGAGAGAGAGAGAGAGAGAGAGAAACATCAATGATGAGAGAGAATCATTGATTGGCTGCCTCCTGTACGCCCCCTACTGGGGAATCAAGCCCGCAACCCAAGTATATGCCCTTGACTGGAATCAATCCTGGGACCCTTCAGACTGCATGCCAATGCTCTATCCAATGAGCCAAACCAGCTAGTGCCAGTAAAATATTTTTAGTTCTATTCATGTCATGAACAGAAATCTTACTTTGAGTTTGGCTTTTCAGAACATAACTCAAAACTGAAATTGTGATTGGCTTGCTTTTATTTCAGTTTTTGTAGAATTTTTATGAGGTCAATTGTGTTTAGGGTTGGAGATTAAAGTAGCCACCAGAGGGCTCCAATGAATTGTAAAGGTTTCATTGAATCTCAGTGTTGAATCCTCTAAATACCAGTTAATGTCAGCCATCCATTTATTTTTTGAATTTTGACTTAGGATTTAAAGGCAGAAGATAAGTTGGTTTGGACTGTCCATTTGCTTTTCTCTCCTTACAACATCTCTTGAGAGAACTTTGGATTTTCATCAAAAACCTATTGTGCCCTAGCCAGTTTGGCTCAGTGGATAGAGTGTCAGCCTGTGTACTGAAGGGTCCTAGGTTTGATTCTGGTCAAGGGCACATGCCTAGGTTTTGAGCTTGATCCCTAGTAGGGGGTGTGCAGGAGGCAGTGGATCAATGATTCTCATCATTGTTGTTTCTCTCCCTCTCTCTCTCTTTTTTTAAAAAATATATTTTATTAAAAAATCAATAAAATATATTAAAAATAAATATATTTTATTGATTTTTTACAGAGAGAAAGAGACAGAGAGAAACGTCGATGAGAGAGAAACATCGATCAGCTGCCTCCTGCACACCCCCCACTGGGGATGTGCCCGCAACCAAGTTGTATGCCTTTGACCGGAATCGAACCTGGGACCTTTCAGTCCACAGGCCGACACTTGATCCACTGAGCCAAACCGGTTTCGGCTCTCTCCCTCTTTTTTACTCTCTGAAATAAATAAAAATACGTTTAAAACAACAGTAACAGCAAAAACATGTTGTATTAGTAATTAGTTCTCCAGAAAGTTCAATTTCATTTTTATATTATGCTCTGATTAGCATTTTAATAAAAAACTTGCAGTAACAAGTAACATAAGACCTGTAGTACTTAATAAGTACTTTGTCAAAGCTGATATATCAAGGCTATCTAATGGTATTTAGACCATCTAGCATAGATTCCTACTTTAAATCAGTTACTTTGCACATTACATCACTTCTTAGGTGGCAGATAGAACTGGGGATTCAGAGTACCTTTAAATAAAGCTTAAATGCCTGTTTAAGTGTTCGTTTAATTCTAAGTTCTGTTTTCTCCCTTTAATAAAAGCTGAAGTGTGCTGGGCTAAATGAATTTGTTAGTTGCACTTAGACTCTGAAAGGGAAGAGCCAGCTGGGCCGGGCCCCTTCCCTTTAAAAAAAAAAAAAAAAAAAAAAAAAAAAATATATATATATATATATATATATATATATATATATATATATATATATTAATATGTATTTCATTGATTTTTTTTTTTTTTTTTTTTTTTTTTTATAGAGAGGAAAGGAGAGGGATAGAGAGTCAGAAACATTGATGAGAGAGAAACATCCATCAGCTGCCTCCTGCACACCTCTAACAGGGATTTGCCTGCAACCAAGGTATATGCCCTTGACCTAAATCAAACCTGTGTCCCTTCTGTCCACAGGCCGACGCTCTATCCACTGAGCCAGCCAGGGCTAAAGTATATATTTTTATTGATTTTAAAGAGGATGGGAGATGGAGAGAAAGATAAGAAACATTTATGATGAGAGAGAATCATTGATTGGCTGTCTCCTGCATGACTCCCACTGGGGATTGAGCGTGCAACCACAAGCATGTGCCCTTGGCGGAATCGAACCTGGGACCCTTCAGTCTGCAGGCTGACGCTTATACACTGAGCCAAACTGGCCAGGGCCAGCTGGGCCCTTTGAGTCTTACAAGCAACTGTTAGGAATAAGGCATTTGTGCTTTATTTGAGAATTTCTCCCAGTGTATTCACATTAAAACATTATTGTTACTGTTTGCAACTATTTGGGGGCAAATTTCTGATTTAAAAAATTTTCAGCCATCATAGAATTCTACATTCCAGGGCTACATATATTGAAAATGCTGGGTCTCTTCTGGGACAGGTTGAAGAGGAATCTCAACAATGAGACTCTTCTAGAGGAACACAATCTAAGCACCAAGATACTCTGAGTGTAAAAAAGTATACTACTACTATACTATAAGAAAGTATAACACTACTAGAGGCCCAGTGCATGAAATTCATGCATGGGGGGTTTGTCCCTCAGCCCAGCCTGCACCCTCTCCAATCTAGGACCCATCGAGGAATGTCTGACTGCCTGATTCAGGTAGGATTGGGCCTAAATGGGCAGTTGGACATCCCTCCCACAACCTAGGACTGTTGGCTCCCAACAGCTTGCCTGCCTGCCTTCCTGATTGCCTCTAACCACTTATGCCTGCCAGCCTGATTGATGCCTAACTATTCCCCTGCCAGCCTGTTTGCCCCTAACTGCCCTCCCCTGTAGGCCTGGTCACCCCTAACTGCTCTCCCCTGCAGGCCTGGGCGCCCCCCACCCTCCAACTGCCCTTCCCTGCAGGCCCGGTCATCCCCAACTTCCCTTCTCTGCTAGCCTGGTCATCCCTAACTGCTCTACCCTGCTGGCCATATTGTGGTGGCCATCTTGTATTCACGTGGGGGCAGTCATCTTTGACCACATGGGGGCAGCAACTTGTGTGTTGGACTGATGGTCAATTTGCATATTATTCTTGTATTAGATAGGATAGAGGACTGGTGCACAGGTGGGGCAGGTTGGTTTGCCCTGAAGGGTATCCTGGATCAGGGTGGGGGTCCCCTTGGAATGTGCGGCGGCCTGAGTGAGGGGCCTGTGGTGGTTTGCAGGCTGGCCACGCCCCCCAGCGACCCAAGTGGAGGCCCTGGTATCTGGGATTTGTTTATCTTCTATAATTGAAACTTTGTAGCCTTGAGTGGAGCCAAGCCTCCTGCTTGCTCAGTGGCCGCAGCCATTTTTACTGGGATTTGTTTATCTTCTATAATTGAAACTTTGTAGCTTTAAGTGGAGGCCAAGGCAAGCAAGGGCTGTGCAAACTTGTTTTTTTCCATCGCTGGGGTCAACTCAAGCCTCCTGCTCTCTCCAGCTCCATGGCTGCTGCCATTTTTATTGGGATTTATTTATCTTATGTAATTGAAACTTTGTAGCCTTAAGTGGAGGCCTGGGTCTGCCAGGGTGTGCAGAAAGGTTGGCTTCCTCTATTGCCAGGGACACCCAAGCCTCCTGCTCTCTCCATGGCCACAGCCATATTATTTGGATTAGTTTGCATACTCACTCCTGATTGGCTGGTGGGCATAGTATGTGGGTATAGAGGAGGTATGGTCAATTTGCGCATTACTCTTTTATTAGATAGGATAACCATTACACATTGAGATCTGTGTATCAAGCATGTCCACTGAGACATTAAATAGAGCAATATGGGTAATATGTAAGGTGGAAATTAAAGCTATCCTCCAAAGCAAAGTTTGTGGGAGTAATGTGAGGACATAATGTTGCATGTATTGTCTCTTTCCTGTTGCAGGTTGAATTGTGTTTAGAGTGTATCGAATGGGCCAAATCAGAGAAAAGAACATTCTTACGCCAAGCTTTGGAGGTATGTGCCTACACTAGTACTATTTTCAGGTCTCTACGCATTAGGCAGACTATGAGTATAAATAACACCAGCCTGATAAAAGTTTTTTTTTTTTTTTAATATATTTTATTGATTCTGTACAGAGAAGAAGGGAGAGAGATAGAGTTAGAAACATCGATGAGAGAGAGTCATTGATCAGCTGCCTCTTGCACACCCCCTCTGGGGATATGCCTGCAACCAAGGTACATGCCCTTAACCGGAATCGAACCCGGGACCCTTCAGTCCCCAAGCCGACGCTCTATCCACTGAGCCAAACCGGTCTCGGCTGATAAAAGTTTTTTCTGCAACTTTGGGTTATCCAGGCACCCAAAGATTATTGCTAGTAGTTTCATTCATGAGAATTGCTTTGGTTGAATTTTTATGACAGACCTGCTAACTTAGAGAAGTAAGCTGTAACATCATAAAATTAATAGACAGTCACTGCCCATAAAGAGATAATACTATAGGCTAGACAAATATTTTTGGACTGAATTTGATATTATCATCAGGACTTGAATATTTAAGAGTAACAGTTCTGTGATTATCAATCTTTGATTTCTTTCTTTCATCAGTCAATGCCTTTTCTCTTTCCTAGGCAAGACTAGTGTCTTTGTACTTCGATACCAAGAGGTACCAGGAAGCATTGCATTTGGGTAAGTTGCTGGTAGTAATTAATAAGGCATCCTAGCTAGCTAAATGAGTGTATTTTAGAGCCTGACTACTCTTATTAGTTATGCATTAATAATTTTTCTTCTAAGAAGGCTTATCCTTCTTTATTTACTGAATCTGTCATGGGAAAATGCCATTTGGAAGTTCTAAGAAACTAACTAGAACTAATTTTTAATTTAGAGAATAGAAAGGTCAAATTGCAAAGTGTTTTATTGCCTTATCACATTTACATATCTGTTTATAATTATACTTAAAATCTATTTTTTTTAAAAAATTATAAAATTTAAAAAAATAATTAGATGTGAATATATATATATATAGAAGTTGGAGTGGGCCATCTAAAGGCTTTCTCCTGTGTGACATTTAAACACCCGAAATCTTTGCCTGCTGCTGGTTTTTTTAAAAAAAATATTTTTATTGATTCCAGAGAGAAAGGGAGAGGGAAAGAGAGATAGAAACATCAGTGATGAGAGAGAATCATTGATTGGCTGCCTCCTGCATGCTCCCCACTTGGGATCAAGCCTGCAACCGGGCCATATGCCCTGACTGGGAATCGAACCAGTGACCTCTTCGTTCCTGGTTTGACAATCACCGAGCCACACCTGGCTAGGCTGTTGTTTTGTTTTTTTTAATTAATGAGTAGGTCCTAGATTATTTTTCCCATGTGGAAAAACATGGCTTTTGTAATCTATTAAGTTGAAGAAATTGCTAATAATCCATTTTTATCCTGCAAAAACAACAATTTCATATGGTTCTAACAAATAGTAGCATGTAAAAAAAAAGTTTTATTGCAATATAGTTAACGGACAATAAAATTCATCCTTTAAAAGTGTGCAAACCAGTGGTTTTTAGTATATTCATAAAGTTGTGCAACCATTACCACTATCTGATTTTCTGAACATTTTTATTACCCCAGATATAAATCTTGGACCCATTACTTACACTTCCCATTAATCCATGATCCATCATCTCCCCTGCTTACCAGGCAGTCACTAATCTATTTTCTGCCTTTGTAGATTTGCCTGTTCTGGACAGCCTATATAATAAAAGGGTAATATGCAAATTGACCCTAATGGCAGAATGACTGGTTACTATGACGTGCACTGACCACCAGGGGGCATATGCTCAACGCAGGAGCTGTTCCCTGCGGAGAGCAGCTCAGCCAGAAGATGGGCTCATGAGTGACGGGAGCCTCTTCTGCCGCCTCTGCAGCACTAAGGATGTCTGACTGCGGCTTAGGGGAGCAGGCCTAAGCCACAGTTGGACATCCCCCGAAGGCTCCTGGGCTGCCAGAGGGATTTCTGCCAGTTAAGGCCTGATCCCCCGAGGAGTGGGCCTACGCCGGCAGGTGGCTATCCCTCAAGGGTTCCTGAACTGTGAGAGGGCACAGGCCAGTGTGAAGGGACCCTCCCTCCCCGAGTGCACACATTTTCGTACACTAGGCCTCCAGTTTCATATAAGTGGAATTATATAATATATGGTATTCGTGATTATCTTCTTTCACTTAGGGTCATGTTTTTAAGGTTCATCCATGTTATAGCGTATGGCAGCCCTTCATTCATTTAAAAAAAAAAAAGATTTTATTTTTTATTCTTAAAAATATATTTTTGTTGATTTCAAAGAGGAAGGGGGGGAGAGAGAGAGAGATAGAAACATTAGGGAGAAAGAATCATTGATTGGCTGCCTCCTGCACGCCCCCCTCCAGGGATTGAGCCCGCAACCCGGACATGTGCTCTTGACTGGAATGGAACTTGGGACCCTTCAGTCACCAGGCCAATACTCTATCCACTGAGCCAAACCAGCTAGGGCTGTCTTTTATTTTAGCCATCTAGTTGGCGTGATACGGTATCTCATTATGGTTTTGATTTGCTTTTCCCTAATGACTAATGATGTTAAGCATTTTTTCATGTACGGTACTTATTGGCCATTTGTATGTCTTTGGAGAAATGTTGATTCAAATCCTTTGCTATTTTTTAATTGGATTATTTGTGCTTTTATTATTTATTCTGGATACCAGTCCCTTACCAGATATATGATTTGCAAATATTTTTTTCCCACTTTATGATTTGATTTTTCACTTTCTTAGTGGTTTTCTTTGAAGCATAATTTAATTTGGATTAAATCCCATTTTTCTTTTGTTACTTATGATTTTGGTATCATTACTAAGCGGTCATTGTCTAATCTAAGATTACAACGATTTACTCCTATGTTTTATAGGTTTAGATCTTACCTTTAGGTCTTTGACTCATTTTGAGTTAATTTTTGTATCTGATGCAAGTCTTTTTGGATTTGATTTTTCACATGAGATGGGGAAGAAGGTAAGGTGTATTTGGAGAATATCGGTATATCCAGAACTCTTTTCCTACTTCCACCAACCCTAGTGCCTGGTATTTTTTGTGTAGTCTGTGATTGCTGGACAGAAAGAAAGTGAGTGAGATCACTGGATAACTAGTTTCAGCGTTTTCTGGGTGGAGATTTCAAAATTTACAAGTAAGCTCTTGGCTCTAATGTGCACCTTAGAATACAGAAAGCTTCAAAGAGATTTGTGTTTCTCTGTTGGAAGATAGCACATTTAACAGAAAATTTAATTCTTGTAAGTAGGTAACCTCTTTTTGGGTTCTGGCAGATTTCAGGTTTCTTTATCCTGAGTGTTCTTATGAGAGTGGGAGAGGGAGATATGGGATGAAGATATTAAGATTATGGCTCAGAGGGGGCATAATATTTTTCCTCCTCCAGGTTCTCAGCTATTGCGGGAGTTGAAAAAGATGGACGACAAAGCCCTTTTGGTGGAAGTACAGCTTTTAGAAAGCAAAACGTACCATGCCCTCAGCAACTTGCCGAAAGCCCGAGCTGCCTTAACCTCTGCTCGAACCACAGCAAATGCCATCTACTGCCCCCCTAAATTGCAGGCCACATTGGATATGCAGTCAGGTAATGCCTGTAGCTACTCATGGGATGTTTTCTTAAAACTCACCTTATTTCATAGGTGGGAGGAATATGGGGGGTTGGGGCTGGGGAATAAAATTGGCTGATTTGGCTGATCCTTCTTCAGAGAAACCAACTAGAAGGTTTTCTCTAACTAGCTTCCTCCTTCTATTAACTTGCTATTAACTGCCTAAAATATATTAATAACATATTTATCCATGGTTGCCCAGACAACCTGATTTTTAGATCCAAGACGTTATAGAGCTCTCCCTTAGGTTTAAAAAGCTCCCTTAGTTTCCTTCTTTGTCACTACTCGGGCTGGTGGCAGCTCTTTCTAACGTTGATTAACCCGAGTCTGTTGTCACTTGGAGATCTTTGTAAAGCATGTTGGCCTTTTCCAAGTGGCCTCAGAACAGGACGAAGACAAGACACCCCACTCCCGAATTTCAGTTGAGTTTAGGCTTTCTGATGGAGTGTGTGAATGTTGAGGCTAGGAGGCCATGGGCAGTAGAATACTTGAAGTCAGCAGCTTTTATTGGTTATACTTTATTATCACTGAAGGAGCACTGGAATTAAAGACAGAAAACTAGTTTAAGCCCTTACCTCTCTGTAGTTCTAATTTCCATGTTTGTAAAAGAGAGATAATACCTGCCCTACTTGCCTCCTGAGTATTTTGAGTATCAAATGGCATGTTTTGTCATTCAGAGGTTAAGAGCAATAGCTCTAGAAACCGACTTTCCTAGGTTGACATTTTAGTTCTGCCAAATTCTAGTTAGGTAATTTATCAAAGATAGTTTAAGTTACTTAATTTATCTGTAACTCATCTGTAAATTGTACCTCTTCATAGGATTGCGGTGGGGATTAAATTATGATGAATGTGAAGTTTCTATCATATTACCTAGCCTTGTCCAGTTCTTGGCAGTTTCTTTAAATCCCTGCTCTTTTTTTTTTATAGTATATTTTTTATTGATTTTTTACAGAGAGAAAGAGAGAGGGAAAGAGAGTTAGAAACATCGATGAGAGAGAATCATCGATCAGCTGCCTTTTGCACACCCCCTACTGGGGATGTGCCCGCAGCCAAGGTACATGCCCTTGACTGGAATCAAACCTGGGACCTTTCAGTCCGCAGACCAACGCTCTACCACTGAGCCATACGGGTTTCGGCAATCCCTGCTCTTTTATCTTCATGGTTAAGACATGAACTTGCATCTGATTTCTCAGAGGAATTGGAGGCCATTTTTATATAAACTCGCTTCTTTTCTCTCTCCAGAATTTGTCACTCCAGAATTTGTAGCCTCCATCAAGAATGATCCTTCTGCTTGTCCTTTTGTTCCATTCTAAATCTAGTCTCTTCTACATGTGTATCTGCATTTCAGGCTTTGAACCACCTTAGCTGAAAAAGCACAGTTCTCTCTTCTTTTTAAGTTGCTGTCTTCTCCTTTTCTTGGCAAGCTTCTTGAAAGTGTTGAAAGACTATCCTTATTTTCTTATCTCTCTTGACTCCTCTGATGGGGGATTTTGACCCTGTTAAATACTCTAGATTTGCCGAAACCGGTTTGACTCTTAGAGCGTCGGCCTGCAGACTGAAAGGTCCCTGGTTCGATTCCGGTCAAGGGCATGTACCTTGGTTGCGGGCACATCCCCGGTGGGGGGTGTGCAAGAGGCAGCTGGTCGATGTTAACATCGACGTTTCTAGCTCTCTATTTCTCTCCCTTCCTCTCTGTAAAAAATCAATAAAATATATTAAAAAAAATAAATAAATACTCTAGATTTCTTCTTCTTTCTTCCTTTTTTCCTCTTTTTTTTTTTTTTTTTTTTTTTTTTTTTTTTTTTTGGTTAATCCTCACCCAAGGATATTTTTTCTATTGATTTTTAGAAAGAAAGTGAAAGGGATGGGAGGAGGGTGAAAGGAGGAATAGAGAAAGAGAGAGAGAGATGCATTTATGTGAGATACATTAATTGTTTGCCTTCTAGACATGCCCCAACCGGGGCCAGGGAATCAAACTTGCAACCCAGGTGTGTGCCCTTGACTGGAAATTGAACCTGCAACCCTTTAGTGCATAAGCCCACACTCCAATCGCTGAGCCACTTGGCCAGGGCTAGGCTTCTTTGATATCACTGTCTTTTTGGTTCTCCTCCCTTGACTAATTATCCTTGCTGAGTTCCTCAGGGTTGTTTTCTCAGTTCTTTTCTCTTCTTGTTCTCCCTGTTTCCTGTCTAACCCCATGTTTTTCCCGGATTTTAGTTGATATATAACACTAACAATCCCGTCATCTAAATCTCCAGTAACTTCCTCCTAAATTCCATATCCAGATTTTCAGCTTCATAATGGACATACACATTATATTTCAATCTCAGCATGTTAAAAACTAAAATTATTTAACCCCTTCAATTGTTCTTTTCTGCCTCTCTTATTTTAGTGAGTGGCATCATCATTGGCTTAGTTGCTCAAACTGTTGTCTGTGGAGTAATTTTGACCCCTTCCTCTCCTTCACCCCTCATGCTCATACTCAGTTGCCAGATAAGGTTGAGTCTGTCTCCACATCAGCCTTTCTTTTTCCATCTCTGATATCACTGCTCTAATTGATGCCTAGACTGCTGGAGTTTTTTACTGATCTAACTGTCCCTAGTCACTTTCCTCAGTCCATCTTTCTTACTCGTCCAAAGTCATTTTTCTGAAACACAAATCTGATCATGCAACTTCTTTGTTTAAAATTTCCCAGTAGTTCCCTATAATCTCCAGGCTTAATTATACTTAACCAAAGGAAGGCATCTGCCCTGGTCAGGTGGCTCAGTTGATGGGAGCGTTGTCCCATACATCAGCAGGTTGTGGGCTCACTCCCCATTTGGGGTGAATACGGGAAGCAACTGATATATGGTATGTTTCCCCCTCCCCCTTTCCTCTCTCTCTAAAATCAGTGAACTGTATTCTCGGGTGAGGATTAAAAAAAAGGAAAGCATCCTTCTCATTATCACCTTTGGTTTTCATTCCTATTCATCAAATTACTTCATGTGCTGTTTCTTCTTAGCCTTTATATATTTTGTCAACTCTGCTTCAAAATTCCCCTTTTCATCTTGTCCTTTTGGCATTTTGCATCCTTCTAGATCCAGCTCAGATGTCTTCTCTATAACCCTTTCCAGGAAGTCTTCTTTTCTTCACACTTCCCTAGGTTTTCTTTTTTCTTCTTTTTGTTTTGTTTGTTTTTGTAAAGTGCTGGGGGAGTTCCCAGCTGGGGTGCCAGTCTCACAGGTATGTAATAGGTAGGTTAGAAGGGTGCTGAAACATTGATATCTTGGGGACATATGTCAGTAGTTTCATCTTTTTACTCCAGCGTGCTGAATACTTTCTACTACAGTCGCCGGCAAACTGCGGCTCGTGAGCCACATGTGGCTCTTTGGCCCCTTGAGTGTGGCTCTTCCACAAAATATCACATGCAGGTGCGCAAGTACAGTGCGATTGAAACTTTGTGGCCCATGCACAGAAGTCGGTTTTCTGCTCTCAAAAGAAATTGCAGTCGTTGTGCTGTTGATATTTGGCTCTGTTAACTAATGAGTTTGCCGACCACTGTTCTATTACATGTACCTTGATTTGAAGAATGTTGGAAAGCCCTGTGGTAAACAATGGATGGGACTGAGGCAGAGTTAGAACTAATATATAGGTAGACTCTCAGGACTTAGGTGCTCCCAAGCTAAAAAGAACTCATTTTCATATTATGCCAGGTCATGGCATAGGTTGGAAATAGTAGCAGGTTCAAAGTAAGGCTCATTGGGAGCAACCCAACTTCTAAGAAGCAGAGAAATAGATGAATGTGATATGTCAGATAAATACTGCTTAACTGTGCCTTTAAGCCCATGGATTTGGCATTATGTGAAATCTATGTACTGTTGCAACTCAGAACTGAGGTAAAGGACATCCATAAATGAGAAATATTTCAAATGAGGATGTAAGAGAATGGTTTTTTTTCTCCCCCATGAAAGCTGCTTAGAATGTCAAGCTTAGAAAAGCTATCTTAATTGAAATGGTTAATATTAAAATCAGTCATTCAGGGATGTTTGGATCAACTTTCTGACTTATGAAAGTGATGTAATGGAGGTGTCCTTTTCCTAGTGGCTGCAAGAAGATAGGATGCATGCAGTAAGGGTGAGAAGCATGGAGCAGATGTTACAGTATGCAGGCTTTAGGATCTTCCCTCGAGTTGGGTCTTGACTCCTTTAGAATTTATATTAGCAAGATGGCATTGAACTGGGAATCCAGAGAAAGACATGGGTTCTAATCCCAGCGTTGCCACTAGCTGATAATGACTTTGGACAGGTCCTTTATCCTTTCCTGACCCCAGGAATAAGTGGATGGGGTTGGGATAGATTTCTGAGGCCCTTCCCAGCTCTGATCTTGTATGGTTCTCATGTGGTTCTTCCACCTTCCTTTTCAATGCTTAGGTATTATTCACGCAGCAGAGGAGAAGGACTGGAAAACTGCATACTCATATTTCTATGAGGCATTTGAGGGTTATGACTCCATTGATAGCCCCAAGGCCATCACCTCTCTGAAGTACATGTTGTTGTGCAAAATCATGCTCAACAGGTAGGTGCACATTAACTTTGGGATATGAGAATTCAGATTTTTAACTGAGTTTTCTCTGTGCCAGAGATGGCTTGGCAGGGACTGGGACTGCTGGAAGTAGATGGGAAACCTCCTTGGAGTATCCTGCAGTTATTCTGTCCAAAGAGTAATAATTGGACAGAGGGCCAGAAAATAACTTACAGACAAACGGGGTAGATTAAGGAAGAGGTTAGGGAGAAGTTAGAAAAAGGAATCAACAGAAAGTATGACAGATGTTTATAAAGAATAATATATAATTCATCCACATTTTGGGGTAGTAAATGAGATACCCACTGGGATTCTTTTTGGATCTTTATTTTATAAAGATATTTTTATTGATTTCAGAGAGGAGGGGAGAAGGAGAGAGAGAGAAAAACATAAATGATGAATCATTGATTGGCTGCTTCCTGCATACTCCCTACTAGGGATCAAGCCCACAACTGGACATGTGCCCTGACTGGGAATCGAACCTTGACCCTCTGGGTCATAGGTCGACACTCAACCACTGAGCCATGCTGGGCTGTTTTTTTGGATCTTATATTGGGGTTTGACTTACACTTATTTTTTTATTTTTTAAAATATATTTTACTGATTTTTTTACAGAGAGGAAGGGTAAGGGATAGAGAGTTAGAAACATTGATGAGAACTGAAACCGGTTTGGCTCAGTGGATAGAGTGTCGGCCTGATGACCGAAAGGTCCCAGGTTCAATTCCGGTCAAGGGCATGTACTTTGGTTGTGGGCACATCCCCGATGTGGGGTGTGCAGGAGGCAGCTGGTCGATCTATCTCTCATTGAAGTTTCTAGCTCTCTATCTCTCTCTCTTCCTCTCTGTGAAAAATCAATAAAATATATTTAAGAAAAAAGAAAAAGAAACATCGATGAGAAGAATCATCCACTGGGGATGTGCCCGCAACCAAGGTACATGCCCTTGACCAGAATTGAACCTGGGACCCTTCAGTTCGCAGGCCGACGCTCTATCCACTGAGCTGACTTACACTTATTATTCTGCCTGTTGGTTCTACTACTTTTGGTTAGTTCATTATGACTTTCTTTTTAATGCTAAAGTTTTTCTGCTCCTCACTGTTGATTTTCATCCCAGAGTGTAGGAATTCAGAGTGGCTTCTGCAGTATAAGGGGCATATGGGGTTCGGGATGGGGCTGATAGAATTCTGAGAAAAAGAAATTTGCCTAAGCCTTTACTTACAGCATAATATCCTGGAGCAATTGACCAAGTATTTTTTTTTTTTTTTTTTTCTAGCCCAGAGGATGTCCAGGCTCTGGTGAGCGGGAAGCTTGCACTGCGGTATGCTGGAAGGCAGGTAGGGAACACCATGACTGCAGTTCTGATCTCTACTTACTTGGGTCCAGCATATTGTGTCAGACATGATGTTTGGTGAGAATAGTGCTCTTCAAGTCTCCTTTTATATTTTTATCCCCTCTTCTCCAACCCCTGTCTCTTAAGCCTATTCAGTATATTTCTTATACTGTTAAATTTGTGATCTAAAAAGTCAGAGTTTTGTGCTCTTTTGGACATCAGATGGTTTGAAGGACTTATAGGAGTGAGTTTTAGCATTTGCATTGAGTTAGGTTGTATTTAGCTTTGACCAGGAAATTTATCTGAGCCTGACTTGCAAATTTGACAAGTGCAGAATATGGAATCTTGAATTCTCCTAGAAGCTCAGTAAGGCCTGGTGCACATGTGCTTTAAGAAGATCAGATTGCTTGGTGCAGAAACTAGGTTTTGATGACTCACCTGAGTGCTTCTCATAGTAGCACCTTGCACTCATGTCCTGAATTTTGGATGTGATGCTAGAAAAGTTCTTTTTTCCTAAAAAATATATTGATTTCAGAGAGGAAGGGAAAGGGAGAGATAGAAACATCAATGATGAGAGAGAAACATTCATTGATCAGCTGCCTCCTGCACACCCTCTACTGGGTATCAAGCCTGCAATCCCTGCACGTGCTTTGATTGGCAATTGAACCGTGATCTCCTGGTTCATGGGTCGGCGCTTAACCAGCAAGCCACACTGGCTGGGCCAGTAGCTCTTTTTGTGGTACCTTTTGTGCCTAAGTAGCTGTGAGTAACACCTGTGTAAAGATGACATCACAGATATCTTCACCATCTCTTCTTTGTATTTTGTTTAAATGTAATTACTAAAGTAAAAGTAATCTTTGTAGATTCAAATGCATTTGTCTCCAAACAACAGGCACATTGGCTCTCTCACTGTATCTTTAGAGGAATGGCCACAAGATGATTTCTTCCTTCTCCACAAGTGACCATGATTGGCTTTTTAACAGAAAAAGTTTCAGATCAGCTTCTAACTTCGACCAAAAGAATACTGGTTATTGCTGAAGTGAATAATGGTTATTATCTAGAAGTAGAGTTGAGGAAATGGGCTGAGAGAGATCAGGTGTCCAGAACAAGGTCAGGTAACTAACTGGTAGTGGTGGAGCCAGACTTTGAATTTGGGTTATCTTGGCTCTAAGTTCCAGGCTTTTCTCATTATGACATTTCTTCTGTCTCTAGGACAAATGCTGAGAACACTTTGCACCATCTTTTAAAAATATATTTTATTGATTTTTTTACAGAGAGGAAGAGAGAGGGATAGAGACTTAGAAACATCAATGAGAGAGAAACATCAATTACCTGCCTCTTATTACCCCCCCCCCCTCCCCCTCTACATCGGGGATGTGCCTGCAACCAAGGTATATGGCCCTGACAGGAATCGAACCCGGGACCTTTCAGTCTGCAGGCCGACGCTCTATCCACTGAGCCAAACAGGTTTTGGCTGCAGTATCTTTAAAAATATATATTTTTATTGATTTTTAGCGGGAAGAAGGGGAGAGGGAAGGAAGGAAGAAGAGAGACAGAGAGAGATAGAGACAGAGACACAGAGAGAGAGAGAGAGAGGGAGAGGGAGAGAGAGGGAGAGGGAGAGAGACTGAGAGAAAGAGAAACATTGATTTGCTGCCTCGGGTTGAGCCTACAGTCCAAGCATGTGACTGGACCGGGAATTGAACTGGCAACCTCCTGGTTCATGGGACAACACCCAACAAACTGAGCCACAGGGACCAAGCCTTTGCTCTATTTTTGAATCTGCTGTATAAGACACACCATCCTTATTTAAGTACATTTAACCGGTACAGGAGGAGCTCCTGGTCCTGTGTACCTTGATGACAGCTTTTGAGCAGGAGTCAGACCGTTCTCCTAAAGAGATTTCTTCTGGGTTAGAAGGTGCCCTGAACCATTGATTGTACCTTCATCACTCTGGGGTTTTAACGTGCAGTTAATATGTAAAATCGTGATGCCTCAACCCTAATGAAAATAGACTTTGGTCTGCACACCAATAAACCTAGCTGAATGAATCTTCATGAAACACAGGTCTTATCAGGTGGGAAGGAAGGAATCAGGGATGTTACAGGGATAGGGAGTCTTGGAAAGAAATCAGTTCTCGGTCATTTTCCCTTTTAACTTGTCATCTTCGGAGAATGCTGTGTCAGGGTTTTTTTAGGGGGGCGGGAACTTGCTGTTTTTTAATATTTTTAATTTATTTCAGATTTCAAAGGGAAACTGGTTGGCACACAGTGGTATTCTTTTTGTTTTCCTTCCTGGTTTCCCCAGGGAGTTCATTTGGGCAGACCAGGGGACAGGGAGGCCCTACATGTAAAGGGTGTTGGAGCCCTGGCTGATTTGGTTCAGTGGTTGCAGCATCGAAGGTCTTGGGTTCGATTCCTGATCAAGAGCACATTCTGATCAAGAGCACATACCCTTCCTTCCTTCATTCCATTCTTTCTAAAAATCAATGGAAAAAATATCCTCAGGTGAGGATTAACAACAGAACAAAAAATGTGTGGGGCCTTTTGGTGGTGAAGTGCTAGTACTGGTGATGAAGGACCTGTTGTGGCAGCAGGAACTTGATCTTGGAACTTGGTCCTGTAACTGCTTGACTGCCATGCCAGTTGGTGGCACTGGTTGGCCGAATCTCCTCCACCTTTATGATCTGGATTGAGTGGGTTCAGGCATGGTGCCGGGCCCCCACATCTCAGCCTTTGGGGAACACGAGGGTCAGGTGAATGTGCACTAGGCTCTCTGGGTGGTCCCCAAAATTCCATCAGGTGCCTGCTTTGGGGACTCCAGTCTCTGGCCACCATGAGTGTAGAACCTTCCGATTTACTTTGCAGGCACAGCCACAGTTCTCTCAGGGGTCTTATTGTAGCTTTTCTTCCCAGGTCTCAAGAACAGTTGTGGGCCTGTAACCAGAAGTTGTTGGGATGTAGCATACTGCTTATGAAACTTGTGGGTGTGCAGAACAGATCGCTTTCACTATTTTTCTCTTTCTTCTTAGACAGAAGCATTAAAATGTGTGGCCCAGGCTAGCAAGAACAGGTCACTCGCAGATTTTGAGAAGGTAAGCATGGTGTTGGGTTGGTAGGGAATAGGTGGAAGAGAGGGGCATTTAAGCACTTTTTAAAAAACATACACTATTTTAAAATAATTATCATTTCATAAGAAGTTGCAAAGATAGTACAAAATTATTCCATACTAGAGGCCTGGTGCACAGATTCAGGCACTGGCAGGGTCTCTTGGCCTTGCCTGTGGGGATCAGTGGATCTCTGCGCCATTGCAGCTCGGCCTTTCCCCACCATCTTGTCAGGCTCCAGCCCACTGCTTAGTCAAGCCTGCAGTGGACGTGCTCCTGCTCATCCCAGCCCTGCTGTGCCTGCTACCCAGGGGGAGTGTCCGAGGGAGAGCCTGAGGGAGAGGCCTGTGAGCCTTTGGTCTGGTATCAGCCGAGCAGCACTCCTGCTGTGGGAGTCCATTGACCACCAGGGGGCAGCTCCTGCGTTGAGTGTCTGCCCCCTGGTAGTCAGCGAGCATCATAGCTACCAGTCAGTCATTCGGTCACTTAGGTTTTTATATATATAGATACTACTAACCAGTTTTCCTCACTGGTTACGTTTTATAATATATATTTTTATTGGTTTCAGAGAGGGAGGGAGAGAGACATCAGTGATGAGAGAACCATTTATTGATTCCCTCCTGCGCGCCCCTACTGGGGATTGAGCCCACAACTTGGGCATGTGCCCTGACTGGGAATCGAACTTTGACCTCCAGGTTCATAGGTCGATGCTCAACCACTGAGTCACACCAGCAGGGTATTTAGTTCTTTACTTTGTATGATTTCTTTCCTTCCCTTAACAGTTTATAGCACAGCTGACATGAGCTAGGATACTCAGATCATTACTAAAGGTCAATAAATCACATGATATGAATGCACAGTCTACATCCTTTTATCCCAAAGTTTAGGATGCTTGATAGATGCTTCTGTTAGGGGTTCCTTGGATAAAAGGCCTATGAGCAGATATCTGAAACACTAGGGCTAACCCAGTGTTTAATTAGGAAGGAGCTAACTGCAGAGTGTACTGTGCTGATGATGTTCCTTGAAGAATTCCAAGAGCTAGTTCTGGAATTCATCATTTCCTATTACTTAACCTGAGAGTTCTTAGACCCTATTTGTTCTGTGGATATACGTGTTAAGAACTATTGTGTGTGTAGAATTTGGCTTACAAACTGAGCCACTCTTGGGGTTTACATGATTTGAGCTTTCAGACAAAGATGTAACCTGGGGTGGCTCCATCTTTAAAAAAAATTTTTTTTAAATCTTTTAATTCTTGATCCTTTTCTTCTGCCATAACTGTTCTTTTATCCCCACAAATCCTCCAGAATTGCAGTCAACTATGCAATTGCAAGGGCCAGCATACTACTTAGGAAGCTAGGCATAGTGTGACTTTCAAGTGCAACTCTGTGCCAATCTTTTGGCAGGCCCTGACAGATTACCGGGCAGAGCTCCGGGATGACCCAATCATCAACACCCACTTGGCCAAGTTGTATGATAACTTACTGGAACAGAATCTGATCCGAGTCATTGAGCCTTTTTCCCGAGTACAGGTAAGAACCCTCCTGGGGACTCGAGCCCCTCTCTGGCTAGGCATTCCCATGGCACCCCTCCTTACCCACACCTGTCCACAACAGGAACTCACTTCAAGGATGTGCCTGGTGGGCAGAGACCACCAAGAGATTGGGACTCTTTTTAAAAGAAATTTTATGTATTGATTTTTGAGAAAGAAAGAATAGTATCTACTTGTTCCACTTACTTATGCATTCGCTGGTTGATTCTTTTATGTGCCCTGACCGGGAATTGAACCTGCAACCTTGGCATATTGAGACAACACTGTAACAACCTGGCCAGGGCCTGGGACTCTCGATGGAACAAGAATTCAGGAGAGGGATGCTGAAGGCAGAGGTTGTTGAGATTGCCACTGCCTGTACTCAATGCAGTCTCCTCGCTTTTGTAGTGAGCACCATGTGGTGAATGTTTTCTGAGAGTGTGGGATAGGGGTGTGTTTATTGTCTGTGTGATGAAGGCAGATGGGAGACCTAAGCGTGACTAAAGGGAATTTGGTCCTATGGACACTCAGCAACCACACCCCACCCCCTATATGAGAGGCAGAGGTAAAACTTTCAGTGTTGGTGTCTCTCTTCCTTTCCTTTTAGATTGAACACATATCTAGCCTCATCAAACTCTCCAAGGTAAGGAGTCCTGAGCTTGTCTTGGGGTAGGGATGGGGAAGGGGTTTGTGGGGGCTGGCAGTACACTCAGTGGGCCTTGTTGGAAGGTTCCCGAGCTCCTCAGTGGGGCATGGGGACCATGGGCTCAGAGCTGGAGTTGCCTTGTTGCTGTTTTGTCTCAGTCCATCTTCCCTAAGTTCCTTTCATACAAGCCTTTCATGTCGGTGTGATCTCTGACTAGTGCAAATTGGTTCCTTTAATCAAGTGCTTTGATTTTAGGCCGATGTGGAAAGGAAATTATCACAGATGATCCTTGACAAGAAATTCCATGGTGAGTAACACTCATATAGGCAGGGGGGCTGGTGGTGGGGATGAAATGCTTGAAGAGGCATCATGTTCTTGTTTATCTAGAAAGAAGATAATTTCATTGTTTTATTTGGTAGTTCCCTGGGGTCCTTGCCCCTCATTGTCCTGGGGAGAGAGTGTATAGTAAACATGCATAAATGGAGCCGGGAGGTGGGTTCTGCTTCCTGTCCTTTCTGGAGAAATGAGGCAGCTGGGGAGCGGGTGTGTCTGAAATGTGTCTAAGCGCATCTCTTACCTCTCTTCCATGGTTGTCCTTGTGTTTCCTGCAGGGATCTTGGACCAGGGGGAGGGTGTTTTGATTATTTTCGATGAACCCCCAGTAGATAAAACTTATGAAGCTGCTCTGGAAACAATTCAGAACATGAGTAAAGTAGTGGATTCTCTCTACAACAAAGCCAAGAAGCTGACATAGGTGAGTGCTGGCTCCAGGACCGGCTGGCAGCTCTGCCCTCTGCCTGTCGAGACTGAAAGCCCGCGGTGGCTCTTGGCCCCGGATTGACACTGCTCTGTCTTCTCTTACAGAGTTGGATCTGTAGCGGTCCTTTGGCGAGTGTGTGTGGCGGGAGAGTGAAACCTTTGGGGAAAATGCTAGGAGATTCTTTTTTCTTTTTGTTCTACTTTTCGCTCGGAAAGTTTTTAAATCCTCATTTGGTGCATCTGTATTCCAGCTGATAGGTGTGCCAGTTTTCATGTAATCTTTACTGGCCCAACTTGGGAGTGGGGACATTGCTTACAAAAAAAAGAAAAAGAAAAAAAAGATTATTCTAAATAAAAGGAAAAGGCTTACACTACCTAAAGCTGTGCTCTCTGCCTCCTGGGAGAGGGCTGCCAAGCCAGGCGCTCCGCCAGCCACCGGGCTCCCAATCCACCCGCTGGCGGCACCTCTCTTCAGAATTGGGTGTTTGCCTGACCATCAAAGCAACGACTTTTTATTCTGTTTGTACTGAACCAAAACAAACAACTGTGTATAGACTGCTATTTTCTTTGAAATGAGGCATTTTGGTGTTCTTTCCCCTGTCATACGGCTGTCCACCTACCTTCCCTCCACAAAGGCTCCAGCAGACTGGCTGAAGGTCCCGCCACCGCCCCAGCAGCAGCAGCAGCCGCTCCGCTCGGACCTGGGAAGGACAGGGGACGAGGCCAGGAGCTAGTGTCCACCACGGCCACACGGGAGCATGTGGGCCCTCGCGGGGCCTGCTGTGCATGTGGCTCTTTTTAACACAGTAAACTAGATTAGACGTCAGTGTTTTAATTGCCCCTTTCCTCTGCTCTCTCTCTCCCTTCTCTCTCCCCTCTCTCAGCCAGGAGACCATCACGTGTCTCCTCTTCCTCCTTCCCCCTCGGGAAGGTGGGCTGTCCGACGTCCATTAGCTTCTCTCCCTGTCCTACTCCTTTCCTGCTGGCCGATGGATGTATTCCGTTTTAAACAGTGAACATCGGAAATGAGACTATGGGGTGTGTTTATTTTTATTTTTGTTGGGTTTTCGAGCAACCTCACGTCCCCTTCCCAGGGAGCCTCTTTCCTTTCTCCTTAGACCTGGAAAGCGGGGGGAGGTGAGCCTGGGTACCGCATGCTTTGTCTCGCGAGGTCACACAGTGGATGTCACTGGCAGGTGAGCTTCGCGCCTCTGGGTGCTCGGCTCCCTCTTCCTCCTCAGCTCTTGTCTTCTTCCTCTCCTTCCTGCTGGCCTCCTTTTGTCTTTCTTTCCCTTTCTCAGATGATCCTTCCAGGTTTTCGTAATAAATTTATATTTTGTAAAAGGATTTTGTTGTACCAGGTTTTGCATCCTCACTGAATCTGACTGGCTCTTATTTTCCTCTCCAAAATCAGGTTTTTATTCTCAACATCTCTCCCCATCATGTCCAGTCACTGTTTTGGTTTTGGCACCATCAATATCAAATGTACAAACGGTTCTTGCTAACCAACACCAGGTATATCTGATGTTCAGATGAGTTCCAATAAAAACAATTTTTTTTTCAAAAGTGTCTTTTCTTGAGTGCTGGAGGGCTTCCGGCGAATGCAGGCAGCTCTGTGGAGCCCTCTGGACTGGCCACAGGTGCACTGGCTCCGCTGCTTCCTGGGAGCCCCGTAGACGGGGGTGCTGTGCTGAGGGCTCTGGGTAAGAGAGTTCGTCTGTGAGGCCTGAAATGGGGAATGCTGCTCAGGTACCTGTTTTCCAGGGCACTGGGGACACGGGGCTGGGTGTGTATATGTACTATCCTCCGAGCCTACTTCCTCTGCCTGATGCGGATGGCGTTTCCATGGTGGGTAACTGTGGTTTGAGGGTTCTGTGAAGTCCTGGAAATGCAAGTGCCCGGAGAGGCCTGACACTCGTGGCTTCGTTTCCATTTGGAATTTTCAAGAGCGGTGACTGTCTCACACACTCGGACCTGGCGATGGGCCTGAGGGCTTGGGCCCTGGGAGGGAGGGGAGCTCTGGCTGCCAACTCTGCTTCCCTGTGAGCAATGGCTCTTCTCAGTCTTCAGTGTTGTGTCCCTAGTTTTACTTGCAGGAAGAGTTTCGCTTCAATAAAGAACCTTAAAAAGAGATTCCAAAGGTATCTTCAGAGCTGGAGCATAGGGGACCACGTGCTTTGCAGGTCGAGTCAGGGGACCACGTGCCACGTGGCTGTGGAGCTCCTGGAACGGGGCTGGTCTGAGTTGCGATGCACTCACTGCACATGTAAACCAAGCCTGGCTTTGAAGACGTAGCATGAAAAGAATGTAAAATAGCTCAACCTTTTTATATGCTGGAGTATTTTGAGCATTATTGGGTAAATAAAATATATTATTAAAATTCACCCGTTTCTTTCTCCTCTTTTAATATGGCTATTAGAAAATGACCTGTGTGTGGACAGTGCTGCTCTAGACTCGGCATTGCTTCCCATCCAGCCTCAAATCAGCTGCATCTCGGCACAGCTGAGAGGGTGGACTGGGCCCGCTCGCTCACCTGGGACCCTTCCTGGCACCAGCCTTCCTGGTGCCAGGCTTGCTTGTGTGAATGAGATCTGATGGTGCTGGGAGCAAAGGCTGAGTGAGGCCTGACTCCAGCAGGCGATGCTGGTTATGTAACTTGTGCTGCCCAGAAGGGCCGCTAGGGGCTGCTGTGAGATCCCTGGAAGAACAAAGCCACTTCCTCAGGGGTAGCCAGCCGGCTAGGTCCTTGGCCTCCCTAGGGGCGATACGAGAAAGGGGCATGTGGAGGGCAGGGACTCTCCTGTGATACCCGGCAGCCCAGCTCAGCGATGCAGATGCCAAGCAGGCCGGCCCTGCGGCAGGGCCGCTAGAGATAGGCTATAGGACAAATGGGCTGATTGATGGGGGTGGGATTTGGAGATCTTCCCTGCAGTTCTCTGGAAGAAAGCTCGGCATCATTCAGCTGGGTCTGCCATTTCTGGCAGATGACTGCCCTTCCTTCCTTACCTCGCGGTTGGCGCGGCGACGGAAGCTTGGTGGTGGTGGTGGGTTGAGTGAGCAGCGGAGCGGTGTGCCTTGAGGGAGGCAGAGCTTGACTGGACAGGCTCCGGGCAGCCTCTCCCCTCAGTCACAAGAGCAGGTGGGCTGGCGACACTACCCCATTCATGCTGTGCCTGCTGCAAATATGACTCTGTCTTTGACAAGTGGGAGGAGGCTGGGGTCATACTGCCAGGGGCTCTTTTTGAAGGTGCTGAACAAAGGCAAAAGGACAGAGTGTGGCCAGGCTGGAAAAGGGCCAGGCAAATGCATGCTTCCTTGGTTTGGAAAAGGGAGTGTGGGGGAGCTCGGTACTGCCACCATTAACTGGAATCGCTAGAATTAAATCTATAGAGTCAGGTAACAGGGTGGATCCTGATGGGTCTAAGGGGGGTTACAGCCTTATAATTCTGGCATCTTTTGGGAAACGAGAACCATTTAACCTTTGCTTCACACCGGAATCTGAAGGGGACCTGACACACAGAAAAGGCAGTGTGGACATGGGCCACTTCGGTTTCTTCCTGAGGGTGGAGGTGACAAGGCTGGTCCAGCTTCGGGTGAGTCACTGGGGAGAGTCAGTGCCAGAGGACCCGAAGCTTGTCTGAGAGCTTCTGACTATGGAAGAGAGTTGAAGAGACTTCCATTGGAAGAGCAGGTGGGAGTTGCACTGGGACCTTCAGAGGGAGGGGCACATGGAGCTAAGGGCCTGCTTTTAGCCTAAGCTAAGCTGGCTGCTTCCATGGATGTCTCTGAAGGGCTGTGGGAGAAGAAGCCCTCGGCACACAGCAAGGCATTTTCTGCTGTAGAGTCGTCATGCTCCGTAAGCATTCAATTGCCACTATTGAGAGAGGTCTCTGGGTAGCACATAGCGAATTCCAGTCCTTTCTGATGCGGCATTGTTCTAAAGGATGCCAGATTTCTGTCCTGCTTAAGGCAGTCGTTAGGCTGGTGCAGGTGGACAGCCTGGTGTGCTGGCCGTCAGGGAACTGGATATCCTCCTTTCTGTACGGCCACTTCCCCATCACTGGGTCCAGAGGTGGTAATTTGAATAAGATATGTTTCCCAGGTTTGTGGTCAAATCTAAATCAGTCTCCAGAACCAAACTATAAGAGCAACAAAGAAAGGATCTGGATTCTTGCCTGTGAAGGTAACAGTTCTTATTAGAACCAGAATGTCATTCAGGATTAAATTTTTTTACCTTCACCAAATCTTCAGATTATGATCAGAGGCTGGTTGGAGAAGTAGCCGCTTCTGTTTTTACTGTGAGAGATAAGGGGGCGGGGAAGTTCGAGGTCACATATGTGATGGGCTTAGTATTGGCTCATATTTTGGGGCAAGGGCCAAGCGAGCGGCCTCAGGGACCTGTCACAGGTGTGGTGTGGAACAGCCTGGAGCTGCCTACACCTCCTCAGCCTGGGTTTCTAAAAGCCACCCGGGCTGGGAGCATGTACCTGGGGTGACTGAACAGAGGGCCCGAAGGGAAGGAAATGAAAGCAGCGGGCAGTCCGCTTGGGATGCGCATGGCACTCAGGCGGCCTCTGCCACGGCTTCGCGTGCGTTCCTCCCACATCCTTTCCCGGGGAGGGAGGGTGTTACATGGAAGGAGGGAGCTCGGGGCCCCGGCCTCCGAGGACGGCTTCTCGTGCGGCTCGGGTGGCAGCCTCCCTCCGCCAGGGCAGGCCCCAGGTCGCCAGGGCGGAGACGAGGCGGGAGCGTCCCCAAGGCCCGCAGCTGCCGGCGCCGCGGCGGGAACAAAGGCAGCACGTGTCTGGGCGGCGCGGCGGGCGGGTCCGTCCTCGCCCCACCCCGCCCGCCCCGCCCGCCGCTCCCCCGGCCGAGCTCGGCTGCGCGGGGCGCCGGGACTCAGGCGGCCGCCGCTGCTGCTGCTGCTAGAACGGCGGGCGGCGCGGAGCGGGCGGGAGCTGTGCGGGAGGGGACGCCCCGGGGCGGGCGGTGCCG